GGACATCAAGAATAGTAAAATCCATCAAAGGTCAATTTTGCCTGAAGGAGTTGAAACCTTGGTATTTTATAATTCAAAAATTCATTAACGGAATAATTTAAGAAAGAGTTGTTATAAATCATGTCAGTACCTACTACTGATCTGATGATACCCTCGAGGACTGATAGTCCACCAGCAGAGGTATCGACCCAGTGCTGTAAAAATGAAAACAACACGTTATAACTTTAATGCGTTCGAAGCTCTTTTCTGGATTACCTTTGATTAAGTTTGAGTTTGTTATTTTTCAATCTACCCACAAAACCAATCAAATTAAGGGGGAATTATTTACTTGTTAATTGTGTAAAACCTATACCTTACACAAAGGCAAGACAGGTCAACACCATCACTAGGAAGATCACATTATTTTGTAGAAACGGTTAACAAAATACTTTATTAATCTAATACTCCATTGGTTTTTGTATGTTGTGGAGTTTTACCCAAAATTTCCTTCTTTCTTATATTAAGCATTCTAAAAGTTACTTAGAGTCATAATCTTATCATTATATGTTGCAAATACCTCAGTAGCTAAGTGTTGCTATTAAACACGTTTCTCTGATTCTTTGGCAATTTAACCCTTTCTGGACCAATGCATCAACGTGTGGTTGATCATAATAGATGATTGGCTCTATTAAAAGGCCATAACCTTAACTAGCTCTGTGGATCATTCAAAATATGCTTACAGGTTTTAGAGAACTTGACAACTTTATAAAACTTTTACTATGCGTAAATAGTTTGACCTTCAGATATTGTAGTTCAAATTGTGTACTTTAACATAATGCAATGTTTTTGATTAAAAGTGGTCTTTTCTGAATGTTTGCATCCTTTTGATCAAGAGATGCATTAATTATGCCTTTGCGCATCAATTTTGTAAATGTATGACGTGAACATCAGGAATGTGGAAGGCACTGCACGAGGATTTTAGTTCTGAAATGAACATTTATTTCATAGTCATTAGAGAAACGAATTCTTACATAGTTACTCGATGATTATTGAAATGTCTATCTCGATAGTTAAATCATCAAATTTTAATTATCTCGGTCGGATAAACCGATAATCGATTTAAGAACCTATATGTCCATACACTTTCTGTTAAATGAAAATCGTTTTGTTTTAATAAAAATCCAGGAAATATACTGCAACTAAATTATTGTCTTCCCGTTCTCTTATTCAATAACTTAACCATAACCCACTCGATAGGTAAACAAACGTGGAAAGGAGAAAAAATGTAATTCACTAACTCATATAACAACTTTTTTATTTATTTTAATATAACAAATTGGAATGCATGACAAATAAAACAAAAATAACAACAAATAAACATTGCTCTATCGACTGACTTTAAATACACATGTTCAATGATTATGTGTTGCAAACTTCGACAACGAAACCCGAAATGTAATTAGTGGCTATTTCTTTCGATCAACAATCAGTAAATAAAATATTTTTATTAATTATACGCTATGGATTCGTTATAAAGGTAAACAACGTGGACAGAGGACTTAATAGAAAAGAAATGAAATGGGGTATTCATCCAAGACCCAAAATCACAGCAAAATACACAAAAGCTAAAGAATAGCGCTTGTATTGCTGTTCTTTACTCAAAATCCAAGGAGGCCGTCAACACGGAACAAAACAAAGTTTACGACGGCCCCTCACACCGGTTTCAGCGGATTTTTTTTCAAACTGACGATCACGCCACAACTGTGAATTGAAGAACAAAGCCAAGTAGTGATCTCAATAAAACAAATCTGGCAAAGAAATCAAACATGTACTGTTATAATTTAGCCCGACAATCACACTGAAGCGTGCAAAAAACAATAAATACATTAAGAAAACTATGGGGCAAATCGATATATATATATATATATATATATATATATATATATATGTAGGACTCTGAAGTGTGTTTGTGGTCCAATGAAGTATGATGGTCTAACTTTGACGTTGACGTTTGTGTATACTACCTTAATTCATTTATCTGAGGTCGTAACAGTTTTCATGAAGAAAAAAAACACAAGTACATAATTTTATGCTTGACTTAAGTCGAGACGTGTCACGTGTTCCACTAAAAACTTTAGTAAAATTAGCTGCTTCTACGCTGCATGAGCAGTGAGAAATTGGGAAGTACACGTAAGGACCTGACGGGTTTATTTCGGTCTAACTTGTGGTAGAAGATTAACACTATACCGTCAAAACAATTAGGCTAGCGTGTCAGTTTTCTTACAAAGCATGATTTATCTCAGGAATAAAACAAAATTATATCAACTTCATATAACAAAATCATTGGTAATAATTTATCTTATTATTTAATTGTCCACATAAAATCATGTGAAGCATACTTGAAGACGATCAAAATTAATACTTAGAGCAATATATTTTATTTGTCGTACAAAACATTTGCGGCATACTTCCGAACACTGGTTAGCTCAACTGCAAACCAAGTTTATCTTCAAGCCGCTTTGCTCCTCACTATTTGCTGCCTGACTTGGTTTAAAATATTTCTGTAAACTCCATCTGCATTATTTCTCCAAACCTTCCTTCATTAGTATGTTTATAATGTAAAATGAACCATATCAATTTATTCAGATTTAACTATAACAATCTTGAAATTTATACAATTAAAACCGAACATAACAACGCTTGTACAATTCTAAAATTTCAAAAATGACGTAGGTTCCCGAACGAAATAAGTAGTAGGATTCCACCTAGACACTAACTAGTAGGAATGTAGTAGGAATCTACCTAGAATCAAAGATTCTGTATAGAAAGTAGACGGACAGGGAAAATGAACAAATTTCTTACTGGATTTTTTTATCTTCGCACTAGCAAAATCCTACCATCTAGCAGGAATTTTAAAAGTCTGTATGGATTTTTTTCTGTTTTGAAAATCTTAAGTGGGAATTTAGACAGGAAATATGATTAGATTATTCATTTTCCTACTACAAGATTCCTACCAGAATTTATTTAATCCTACTCGAAAATCTTTTTACATGGAATCTTTTTAATTATCTTAAACTGGATTCCTGTTTGCTAATGACACAAATTTTGCTGTGTTGAATGCAACCATGTTCAGGTTCACAAATTCAAAAGTTGGAGGGTAGAAGAATGAAAAGTTGTGTTGGAACACAACACTGCAAGGATCAAACAACTACAATATTGAAATATGAAAAAATATGGCTCTTGATGATTAAAGGTAATGTTTATACTTTTAATATGAAATTTGTTATCTGTTTGCCAATATATTAGTTAATTCAACAATAGTGCATAATTTTCCTCATTATTTGTTCATAACTCTATAATTTCATCTAATCAACATTTTTGTCCATCTACATATATAACACAATTTCTAGCTTGAATACATCACACTTTCCTCATACATTTCAAAAGTCTTTTTTTTTTTTTAAATAAATCTATTCCATACATTTCCTTTGTTCTTTTTTGTTGAGATTCAAACTTAAATGATTGACCCAGTTGTGTATTTGTGAATATACACTTGCATTTTGTATATTTTTAGATTCCTACTAGAAAATATGTTTTTCTATGTGGAATTTTGAAAAATTCCTACCAGATTTTCTAGTAGGAATTTTATTTTCCCGCCATATTATTCCTACTAATTTAAATATTCCTGGTAGGAATATACAATATTCCTACTAAGAAATTCCTGCTAATTTAAATTTTTCGTCTATTTTCCGTGTGGAATCCTACTACTGTCTGACTAGAATATAACTCTTTTCTGGTAGGTATTCATTACAATATTCCTACTATATTCCGTGTTCATTCTGTGTGGAATATTTCATACAGTAGGTATTAAAAACAGAAACTGCATAGATATGCTACTAACAAAAATAGTAATATGCGATATGAACTGGTACATTTAGAAATGTACCAGTTCATATCGCACATATATGGAACGAGATCCAAAAATTCACAATTATTTTCACAATACTAGTCCAAATAATTATCATGATCATGACGGTCTTGAAAGGCTATTTTAAACTAATGCTGTGACGACATCATAATTATTTGGACTAACACAATACTTTATCCGTGGAAAATAGAAATGAACTCGACTATACTGACAAATAAGACATATGTGAAATGTACTGAAAATACAGAATTCAAACCACAAACGATAAGACATAACATAATATCTAACCGTACTTACAAAAGAAACATCATAACTAAATACATGAATGTTGGATGTATAAATACCGAGACACGTCGTATAGCAATGCGAATTCACACTCGGCAAAACAGTCATATTCGGGAATAGGTCACGTTCGGTACTCAGCAGACAGACGACGTAGATGGTAAACCACAATCTAAGACGTGGTAAAAATGTCGTTAGTTAATTTAGACACAGACACATCGTATAGATCAACCAATTCGTGATGGTGTCCATAAAATTTACGGAGTGACATTTATAATCTTCCTTCGTCATAACTCTGTTGGAGCAGTTTCTGCGTAAGGAGCACATTCCTGTTTATGAAGTCCATATGGTATGCCCGAGCATAACGTATCAATTGAGATATGTAAACACCATTCGACGGAGCAGAGGGTATGTTACCGCTGAGAAATGGGAAATTGATAATTGGGAAGTTGAAATCAGCCCGTTTGTTATAGATTTTAGGGTGAAGTCGATCGTCCATCTGTTTCAATATTGAGGAAAGGATCAAGGTATGAAGCAGTCCTTCTAGTATCAGTAGTATCCTTAATTTCAAGTTCACTGGGATATATGAGATGCAAGTACTGACTGAAGTATGGGTTATTCAGTGATAGGACATTATCAATATATAAGTAATTGTGCTCTCATAACGTATACACGAAATTACTCCTTTTGCATATTCGTAATAACATAAATTGTCAAAAATTTTTTTAAATGAAATTGCAATTTTTTATCATCAGAACTTTGTATTTTGATGTAACAGTATGCACAATAAATGCTTATTATTTCGTTTTAGATGGCAACTTCTTTAACTGAGGAGGAAACATACTATCTCAGATTAGTGTCCTTGACAATAGGTGTTGCGCCACAAGCTGTTCGTGATTATTTCGACAGTGTTTTTCCACCGATTGATCTTGCAACAGAGCTACAGAACAAGAAGAAGACACTAAAACACCTGCGGTTTTCTTTAAAGGTTTTGACATCAGCACAATGGTCTACTCTTTTTCCGACAGGTACGTCGACTGTGGTTAATTATTTAGAATTAACATTAGTACGCAATCGAGTTTTGTTATCCTCATCTTATAGACAACATGCAAAAAGCAGAATGGTTGTAGTGAAGCGAAACGATAGGATTAACACAACTTTTATCTAATTATTTTATTTTCGTTTCTTTCTGTTAAAAAAGAGGCAATACAAAAAGAAACTGGCATTTTTCTTCCTATTACAACTTTTTCAATATACTAAAGCAACAGCATAATTATGCTGCAGTAATTAAATGTTCGAACATAAAAAGACAAAAGTTCAAACCATATCAATCTCTTTTATAAATTTAATCAAATGATTCTGAAGGTTATATAATTCACCATAGATATTCGGCTAAGTTGCCCTACAATATGGAACGACAAAGATTCAATATTATTATTACAGTATATAAATAAGGACACAGCTACATTAAGGACGTTTTTACACTACTTGCGACAAGGGCAGATAACTCCGTTCAATCTCATTAATTATTCATGCGTCGTTCTTACCGCACCGCCATGATTGAATATCCAGTTCACCAGTTCTTGATGAAACGACGTTGCAACAATTATTGCGTTAGGGTGAAGAAAGTTTCAAAACAGGGTAATTATCGAAAATTGTACATAATTATGAATAATTATTGTGATTTACACGATTTTCTAAGGAGTTCTTAGTTCCGCCTTCTACAAATTGTAAGCCAATCAGAAACTACCTGCTTCATTTGGAAATTTATATCCAAAATTCTCGAGCACCTGTCTGGTAGTAAAAAACTAGAAAATATGGACAGAAATACAACAATTTGGTTATTAAACCTACATATTTGGTAAGAATTGTCATCAGGTTATCTCAATAACAGCAAATGACAAGTATTTTTTTAGTTATTTGTCAAATTTTGATATCCGCATGGTAGTACTATGCCTTGGACATCGCCTGATAATCACGAACCTCATCAATGACTTCATTTCGGTTAAAAAAGAAGTTATGTTTACTCATTCGTCTCTTTTTATCATTATTTAGTTGATTTAATGTTATGAAGTGTGGTATATACGGTAAATTTCCTTAACAAATTGAGAATTGTACAAAAAGGAGGGGACTATATCTATATATAAAAAAGTAAAAAGTAATTATCCCCCTATCAGCTGCCAACACGCAGGGAAAATGCTGTCTGTTAGCAGCTATGTAGACAGGCATGTGGCTAGGTCTGTCGATGTTCTGATTGTTGTTGTTTACACCCAATATGTTTTCACATATTGCCTTAAATTTCTTTGCTAGCAATACACCTATTCGCTATTCGTCCACCATTACTGCACATCACTGAAGTTCCTCTAAATTTTGACATCACAAGACAAAATATCTGACGCCAGGATGGACGCCATCTGCTGAGGGTATTTTTCAATTATGATTTTTACATAAAGAGTCAAAGCAAAAATTTAAATAGACTTTCAAGACCTCAGAATTGTTTAGACCAAAGTTCATTGCATGAAGGGAACATTCACCAGGGAGGGCTTGGTGCCAGCAAACATTTTAAACCCCGCCACATTCTGTATGTGCCTTTCCCAATTTTTGGTAATTCAGTGGTTGTTGTTTGTTGTTGTACATTATTATCATATTTGTTTTTCGTTTATTGATTTGTACTTTAAATACATGTAAGGCTGTAAGTCTTTTTCAATGGAATTGTTTTACATCGATTATATCAAGTCCTTTTAAATCATACTTTGTCGTATGGGTTTTGCTCATCATGCTCATTGATTAAGGTCATACATTGACCTAAAGCTGCTAACATTTGGTCTCTGTCGGAAAGTGTCTCATTGGCAATCATACCAGACCTTCTTTTTTTTCATTGTACCTGTGTACAAATTTCATGAACCAGAATTCTTTAGTAACTTCATCTTAAATTAGGAATAACTAGAAACTATAATGTAAACTCAATTATGGCGATTTTGTGTATTCTTCCTTTGATCTTTTTTATGATAATTTTTCATATTGATATCGAAAATTATAGTCAGAAACTAATGGCGCATGTGATATTGTCAATGTAAACATCAGTGACTTCATCGGCATTAACAAAAAGTAACTCGCAGTTACTATGCTAGTTCAAAGTCAATAACAACTAATAAAAAAATCATGTATTTACTAAAATTTCAATCAGTTCACAGCCAACATCCAATGGATTTATTGTTAAGACGTCATTTACAGTCAGAGAAAAATATGACCTTGCCAACATATAGGTATCGACAGATTGTAGTACCGTTAATATTTTGAATGCAATGTTACCTATGGAAGAATTTAGTAAAGGATTTAAGTAATTTTTGGTAATGAAATACCTGACTTAATAATTTACCAGAAATACGTACATTACGCTCATTGAAATCCAAAACGTCACTACAGGCACGGGCGTACCGAAACAGTTGGGATATATAAATACTGTAAGATGGGGCCAAAGGAACATCACCATCCAAAAAAAGGGAAAATTAGCAATAGGGAAAGAAAAATCGTCCCTTTTGTCGTCCCTTTTGTCGAACATTTTAGTGTTGAGATTCTCGTGTAAACTTAAGTGTTTGCCAAAATTTAACTAAATATTTAAGTAGTATTAAAATAATTAGTATTAATTTTTTAAGGTTCTGCAAATGTATCCTCAAAAGATTTTGATCTAACTTTAATGATATGTCTGTTGAGAAATGTATCTGGTATGGCACCACCTGCCTTTGGTTTTGACGTTCTTCCATCTTCAACAGACATAAGTGAAGCAGATGACCTTGCTCGAATGAAATTTTTTCGAAATAAAATTGCACACTCTGACAATGGAACACTTCCGAAAGCAGACTTCCTTGCGGCATGGGATAATGTTAGCCAGGTAAATATGCAAAACGAATCTTATAAAATTACTGATAAAACCCACAGCATTAAAGTTCGACCTCTAATACTTTTTAATTATCATATATTTTGTTTTTGTTTGTTTTATTTTGTTTTGATTTTTTTTTTTTTGGCTTGGTTTTCTTTTTTTTGGGGGGGGGGGGGGGGGATTAATACCTCAAATGATTTATAAATGATTATGTATTCAGAGTGGTGAATGTTGAAGATGTTATGTATTTACTAATTATTTATAAAACGTGATACGTAAAGTAAAATGTTATTATTAAAGGCTACAGAACGGCTTGGAGGATTGGCTTATAAACAAGTCTGTTTGGATTTGAAAGGCGCAAATCTTGACAGTTCATCTTACACTGATATATTACTGAATATTAGACAAGCACAAGATGAAAAGATAAAAGATTTAGCAGACAAAATAGAGAATGTGTTAACGGAGACCCAAAAACCTAAACAGTCTTTCACAGATCCAGTACCTTCAGCCTTAAGAGGTGCTAATTTTTTTTATACTTAAATTAATGTTCTCCGATTTCAACACAACCTTACTAATATGAATTTAAGACGAATTTATAGACAGTCAATTCAACAGTAGTAGACTTTGAAAGTTCCTACTTTTCGGTACCCTTTCTAATTTAAAAAAGGTGCCATGATGTGGCGTAGAAAGTATTTCATATAAGTAGGATTGACTTAATTGAAAAGTATAATCGACGCGATCTGCGACGAAAAATATAATTTCCTTTTGTGAAACAAATATACATGTAAATAATTTCTCCCGTAATCGCGGATAAAATCGTTTTCTGCAAACGTCTTCAGTTGCAAGAATATTATCGATTAGTTCCTATTCAAAAACAAATGTTCAAATGTCTGTCGTTATCAAACGCACGACCGTGTTTCAAATATTTTAAAATATGCACACTCAAAGAGGCAATACTTATAAAGATAACTGTTTAAGTGTTGTATAGAATAATTGGAATTGCAACATAAAAAAAAACGTCAGAGTATATCCACATAGTATCGTTTCCTGGTATTTGATAAATGAAATGTTCTTTTTCATAAGGAAGTATTGATATTTACTGCTCAACAAAATTTCGAAATTTGTGTATAATGAAAACATAAGAAAAATGTTTTATGATAATTATTTTATCACTGAAAAAATTCTATTTTTTCCACAATAGTTGTCATTCTTTTTTATTCAATTCATTCCTTTTTACTGTGCTACAGACTTTTTAAAGTATAAAAAATCATCACTATCAGTATCAATATCTTAAATTTAAATAAATTCAAAAGCATTTGTCGCGTTTGTCTATTTGCAGGTCTGTTTCAAAGTAAAATCGCTTTGTGGGAGAAAAACGATACAATATTTGAAGAATCAAACTGTTCAAAACAGCTTCTAAAAATGATCAAGGAAAACAATATTGTCACCATTACAGGCAACCCAGGTATGGGGAAAAGTCTTTCAATGAGACATACCGCCTTGCAAATGAAGTTAGAAGGATATGACATATTACCTATTACAGATCCAAAAGACATATTAACGTTTACAATGCCATATAATAAAGCACTCTACGTTATTGACGATATTTGTGGTAAATACAATGTTGTTCAACATTTGATAGAAGTTTGGGAACTCTATAGTCCTGAAATCAAAGAAATCATTACAACCTCGAAAAGTAAAATTTTATCCATTGTAGACTTCAAGTCTTCCAAAGCAAACAGTTTCAGAGTTTAGATTTTTTAACAGAGACACATTTTAATTTTTTGTCAGTAGAATATTCTTTAACGACTGAAGAGAAAAGGTGTATAGCAAAGAAGTATTTACAAGAAGATTTTGCAACAACATTACCAGAGGATGTTATTGAACAGTATGATTGTTTTCCGCTTTTATGTTCTTTATTGTCCGATACTGAAGACGACGAAAAAGCAAACACATTCTTGAAAAGTCCATACGAGGTATTTGAAAATGAACTAGAACAGCTGTATGAAAATGCTGATCGACTAATGTATTGTTCGTTGGCCATAGTTGTAATATTTAATAACAGGTTATGTGCATCTATGCTGCTTCATTCGGTTGATAATTGTGATAACGAAATATTTGAAGATATTTTCGAAGCATGTGGTGAATCGAAAACTAGCTCAAGAGATCATGTGATCGAACATTTAGAATCCCTGAATAGCTCATATATATTAAAACATGACACATTTTACAGCTACATACATCATAAATTATTTGAAATCGCTGCATTTTATTTTGCTAAGAAACCACTGCTTCTAAATTGCATGCTTAAGCACTGTTGTGCGACTTTTCTTTGTGAACGATTTATATTTCAGTCTTTTTCCGGTGGAAAGCACGAATTCCAAATCATCTTGCCTCAAAATCTAGTAAAAATATTTTTTGATAAGTTGTTAAAAGGCGTAAATGTTGATAATGTTTTCGACATTTTTGGCTGCGAGCTAATGACCTATGTAGAATACAGGACAAGTCTTATTTCTTATATGAAAACATTAGATAAGGAAATAAAAGCTAATCTACTACGTTTATCTCGGGCTGGATTAACCATTGTCCATCTCATGTGTAAACTTGGATATACAGATATTATTCGTTTTTGTATAGATGAAGGAATTAAACCAAACAGCTATCAAGATATAGGAGTCACTCCTCTTCACACAGCATGTAAATATGAGAAGGAAGAAGTAGTAGATATGCTACTCAAATTTGGTGTAAATGCAAACAAATATAAAAGTGCCGGATACACTCCGTTATATGAAGCATGCAAATCTGGGAAAACAAATGTAGTGGAGAAACTTTTAAGGTATGGGGCAAATCCTTCTTTATGTAGCGACAATAGGTTAATTCCATTGTTAATTGCCACTGAAAATGAGCATACGAAAATTGTGCATCTTCTTTTGAGATACAGAGCTGATGTGAACCAACAAGATGGAGACCTAAAATCAGCTTTACATATATCCTGTATGACTGGCAACGTTGAAATATTAAACTTTCTCATCAGGTATGGAGCAGATGTTGATATTAAGACGACGAACGGAGAAACTCCTTTATATTTTGCTTGTGAAAAATTACATATTAGCATCATCAAGTTGTTACTGGTAGAAAATGCAGATGTATTCCAATTCTCAACAAGGACAGGCTTTTCACCTCTCTCAGTGTTGTTAAAAAAAGACAAAAACGAACTGGGAACGGATATTTTAAATCATGTTTCAAATAAAACCCGTTTGTATATTGCATTTGAAAACGCACTAGAGAACAACGATGTGAAGCTTGTAGACATTCTATTAAAATCTGATCTATCTGTCAATAATACATTATCATCAGGAAACAAAGCGCTTCACGTAGCTTGCAACTATGGGAATCTTTGTTTCGTAAAGAAGCTTCTTGATTGCGGAGCAAGTATTAATTGTCGAAACGCAAATTACGTTCAACCAATACAGATAGCATGTCAAAGAGAACATGAAGATATTGTGTCGTTATTGGTTTCAAAAGGTGCAAATGTAAATGATACTAGCACAAAGTGTGCTATGCCCCCTCCACTCCACATTTCATGCATAGTGAGAAATGAAGAAATAGCTTCAATTCTTGTAAATGGAAACGCAGATCTGAATGAAACAACAACATTAACTCTTAGTTCAATGTATGAATTCCGTAACCAGACCTATATCAATAAACTTTTTAGTACTGTGGACCAAAACGTGAAAGGCAATGTCACCCCAATCGAAATAATATGCATGGAGAGAGATTCGGGTTTGTTGCGTTTTTTTCTGGAAAACAGTGCAGATCCAAATATGAAAACTGATTTGTACGGAATTCATCCACTTTTGATAGCTTGTTTTTATAAACAATCCGAAATGATTGATATGTTATTGCATCATTGCTCAAATGTTAATATATGTGGAAGTATAGATAATTTATGCTTAACAAATATTATGTGCAATGACGACGAAGACATTATTGAGCTTATTGCATATAGGCGGAAGAAAGTAACATTATCTACTTTCACGCCTTTGCATATTTCTTGCTTAAAAGGGGATGATTCTGCTGTGTCTTCAATACTACAATCCCGCGCAAGGACTGACATTGCTACTCCTGTGTCACCTTTTGTGATATATACCTTAAACTGTAAACGATTGTTGAAGTTGGACTTTCAAGCTGCCATTTATTATTTAAGCAAGTATAGTGAGATTAAAGACGTTCTTCCTATACATCTTGCATGTTTTGGTGGATATCCTAACATAGTCAAATTGGTAATTGATCGTATGAATGTAATGCCTGGCAATTTATCGTTACAAGTGAGCGCTTTTCAAGTTGCGTCGTTACATGGGAAATTTTACAAACGTAGATTTGAAATAGAAACACGATGTTACAGCTTAAATCCTTTGCAAATTGCATGTCTGGAAAGACATTGGGATATATGTAAAGTGTTATTAGACAAAGGCTATAATGCATATTCGACATTTTATGTATCCGACTTTTTTATATCTTGTTTTGAAATCAGCAGTGCCATAATCCCAACGGAATATAATACAAAAGTTTATAAAACCTCCGTTATAAAATGTATGTATGAAAATAAGGTTTATGATCTTATCAAACACGTTCTGAATTTAACAGAAGATTTGGAAAAACCCACCGATTGTGTTCTTCATGCATTATTAACCTCTGCGTGCACAAATGGTGATCTTGAACTTGCTAAAACTATTCTAGAGAGATTTTCAAATATAGATGATGGGCAACCTGTTTCGTCCCTTCATGCTGCATGTGAACACAACATGATTGAGATAGTCGATTTTATTTTGTCGACGAACCCTAAGATGGACCAAATTAATGAACATTTGGGTACACCTCTTCATATTGCCAGTAGGAGAGGGTATGAAAGAATTTTACATTTACTACTCAAAAACGGTGCTAGTCCGTTTGCATTGACGCGAACAGGAGAAAACGCCTATCACTTAGCTTGTAAGCATAACCATGTTGACTGTTTTTCTCTTCTACAGCAGTTTACGGATGAGCACATTTACTCTATATACACCGATAATGTCCATTTCACTAATATATATACATCGGAAAAGAAAACGACAACTTATTTTGCCTATTTAAACAGAAATGGAATACTTCTATCAATACTTCTGAATAATTGTGCAGATATTAATTTGCCTTTAGGTGAGGATAACGAAACGTTACTTTTAATTGCTTGTAAGGAAAGCCGTGTCGAATATGTTGACTTCTTCTTGAAAAGATCGGCTGACGTCAATGTAACAAACATTAACGGAGAAACACCACTGTTAATTGCATGTGCAAACGGATATGACCCCATAATAAGGCAGTTATTAGAGACAAACGCTTCTGTGAATATTCAAGGAAATAATGGATACTGCCCATTATATTTTTCTAACAACAATAACTCTGAAATAACAGAACTGTTATTAAAGAAAAACGCAAATCCAAACTGTTTATTACACAATGGAACAGAAAATTTATTAATAAATGCAGTAAAACGTAAAAGTTATAACGCAGTTGAGCTTTTACTAAAATATGGTGCTGACGTGAACTTCAGCTATAGTCCCGGACAACCGGCATTATTTTTTGCATTTGAAAATGGTGATACGAAGATGATGAAATGTCTACTAAGATATAATGCAGACAGTAATGTTTGTTCACACGAACGATCAAAGTACTTATATCAAGCCTGTGTTAGAGGAATGGTTGACATTGTAGAACTTATTATGTTTCATGATTGTACCTTGGATCCAAATGATGTGCAGACTAATGGAGAAACATCATTGTTTGCGTGCTATAAAGCTATGAACAAAAGTAATATTGAGACTGTTACTCGTCATTTAAAAATAGGACGTTTGCTAATGAGATTTGGGGCCGATATCAATACAAAAACTACTGATAATGATGCACCTTTTAACCAGTTATGTTTGAATGGTACACTCGCTGAAGTTGAGTACATATTAGAGAATAACAGTGTGAGCCAAGACCTAATTATGAAAGAAATACAGGATCCCCGTATACAAGGGAGGTATACGCTCTTAACATTATTAATATTTTACTTTCGCAAACCGATCCTGACAGATTTGTTTTATGACATTTGGTTCGATGCTGTTGAAAACGCTCAGTTAGAAATTATAAATTTATTAATTGAGAAGGGAGTTGACACTAATATGATTCGTCACACGGACAAACATTGTGCACTGCATATAGCGAGTGAAATGGGGAATATAGGCGCTGTAAAAAGCATATTGAAACAATTTAATACTATACCAAATATGAAATCCGCTTCAGGCCATACTCCCTTGCAAGTAGCGTGCCTCAATAGTCAAGTTGAAATATATGAATCACTAGTCAAAAGTGAAGCTAAAATAACAGACAAAACAGCTGACGGAACCGACAAAAACATTCATTTTGCTTGCAGATATATGGATAATTATCTTCTTGCACAGCTCTGTACTACAAAAAGCAATTTATACTGCGTGAATGAAAATGGTTTGACTCCTTTGATAATATCAATTTGTATGGGTGACTTGAGAAACGTAGATGTTTTGTTAAATCATGGTGCACCTGTAGACCAGGACACTTTAATTTATTACAAAGAAGTCGAGGAATTGTTTGGAACATCAAGCATTTGTATGACACGTGCAACGCCCCTCCATATTGCATGCTGGAAAGACGATTTTCGAATTGTTCAACAGGTTCTCGCTGGAAATGCTACCTGTAGTTTGTTAATGCACAACTATTACAATTTGTCAGCTGACGAAAAAGAATGTGACAAGTTATCACCATTATGCATATCAGTTTTACGAAATAATTATAGTACAGTAACATTACTCCTACAGGGTATACCAAATTCAGATCTCCATATAGAGAATTCTATGTTTACGTCCTCGTTATTTAACCAGGGAAATAAAAGTAGCAAAGAATGCTATATGGATAACAAAACTTACCTAACACCATTTCAAGCAGCATGTATTTTAGGTTATGTTGACATCGCTGAAGAGTTGTTAGAAAATCACGTTGATGTTAATCAGAGGTTTAAAGTAACTCCAATAATTCTTTCGATTTGTGCTAGGAACCATGTTCTGATGCAGAAATTTCTTTCTTCCAACGGTTTCATTGACAAGAACTTTGAAATTGAGGTTACTCCGTTAATATTTTCCGTTCTTGTTGAAAACTTGGAATTACTTAAGATGTTGCTATCTAACTATGCAGATCATGAATCCGAGGTAACAATTTGTTTGTTACATGTGATTCCATTTCACGAAGATATCCTCAATGTGCTGACTAGCGAATCTTTAGATTTAGAACAGCTTTTGCTGTCTGAATGCACAATGAATCCATTTCTCATTGCTTGTTTAAAAGGCAATAATGATATGTGTCGCCTGTTTTTTTCGAAGTATGCTGATCCGCTTTATGCAACACAACTGACAGCCATGCATGTCATTTGCTTTAAAGGCTATGATAAACATCTTAAAATTATGATAGAAGAACGTCTACAACTAAGCAGGTACTTTCGAATTCAGTGCAGTCATTTTATAGCAATAGGAAATCTTGTTGAAATAAATGATGAACTTGTTACATTATCTACTGGGTGTAATGATGTATTGCATATTTCTAATCTAGAACTGGCATGTATGGATGAAGACGTGTATATTCTAAAGCACATTCTGGATATTTTGCCTGAAAAAAGTTATAATAGTGTAATGAAAATAACACCACTACTTTTATCATATTTGTTCGAAAATTGTGCCCAACTTGGAATAGGCATATTTTTGTCTAATGCCGATTTGTGCAGTTGTATATCTTATAATCTGATGATTTCTTTGTTTTTTTATAAACGATACGGAGACACAGGTCAGCATTCGAAAAAAATTACATTCGATGATAGCATTCAGTTAAGTGACTTGAGTTTGCTTTTAAAATTTTGTTGCGCGGGTACTTCAGCTATATATGAATTTAGTGATATGTTTGAAGCATCTGATACAGCTTCCGTCGGTAAAATTATTAAAGACCGATTAACTTGTTGTGAAGAAAATTTATTGACCTCATTTTTGCTAGATTTTAATGAAAACAAAGATGATGAAACAACAGTTTTAGAATTACTACAACACACTGATGTTTGCAAAAAGATGTTTATAGTAAATTGTGCATACCTACTTTTGTTTAGAAATAGCAGGCTTGACTCACTGCCATTGTCAGCATACAGTGAACTATCACATGAACCACTATCATTCACGGCAGTTGAAGCTTTTCACTTAATTCAACGACGAATTCCGCATTGTTTTCTATCATCAACTGAAGCAAAATATAGGTCACTTAAAATTAGTCCACTCATGATAGCTTGCTTACACGAAAACATGGTAAATGTCGAATTTATTTTGCAGAAAAGGTTTGCTATCAGTCAAACAAATGAGTTGAGCCTTCTGCTTCTGGCTGGATTTCGGGACTACAAATATGGAAACACATTAAATACGATTGTTTCTAGTAAAAACATCGATGCGAAAATAAATGCATTGCACGCTGCAATTATCATGGGGAACATTGAAATGACAAGAATGCTTCTGGCATATGGCTGTTGTGTAAATACTTCAGCATTTCTAACACCTATACATATTCCTGTAATTCAAAAAGAAATGTCTGAATTTAGTTTTGATGATCAATACGATCTAACAATATTTCATGATGTAGCTACTGAAGAAGATAGAATAAACTGTATGATTGTACCATTAGAAATAAACCCTATACACTTAGCATGCTTTCGTGAGAATAGTACTGATTTTGTGAGATTATTGGCAGGGAGACAATGTACTTTACTATCAACTGCAAAGCTGTCGACACTGGGCTTTTACATGTTAGGAACATCACTCGAATACTCTAATTTTTCGTTAAAACATAACACGTTAGAGGCTTTTTCCGAATTAACACCTTTGAACATTGGAAGTTTGATTAATAATGCTCATCTCGTTGAAATCCTACTGAGTAAGCAAAACAAAATTGATTCTGTGGCATCTGTTTTCCCTCTTCATATGAATACCAGTCACTGTTCAGACATCGTTGATCTAATTACAAACCAATCCGTATTCATGTAAACATCACTTAACATGGCACTTTTAAATCAAAATTCTGATATTGTTGATCTATTAATTAAAAACGGAGCAAATGTGGATATGTCAACATCATTATTTATGGAAATAAGCATTGACGATATGTTCATCTCTACCTACTCTACTCTGAAGGCTATTCATTTAGCAGGTATTGTAGATGAGGATCACAATTTTAGAACCATTCTTTCAAAAACCAAATCTATTAATGAGAAATGTGCAATTTCTGTGTGGCATTTATGTTATCTGGAAGCAATTAATGGTGTAAAAATGTACCAAGCATTTGACCGGGAAATAGAACTCCATCTCAGCGCTTTACATATATGTTGTATAACTAGAGATTGTGCCCGTGTAGAAATGCTACTAAAGTCGGGAGCAAATTGCAACATACCAGCAGAAATTCCATTCGTTTACACAAAATTTAAATCTGCAATTCGTTTGTCCAAATATCCTTTACATTTAGCTGCAGAGAGTGGTAATTTAGATATGTGTGTTTTATTGCTGAAGTATAGCGCAGACAACGAAGTGAAGACAAACGTTATAGGATTCAAACCATGGCAGTTAGCGTTATACCATGGACATGCTGATGTATTGGAATGTCTTGTTACCGTGCGTACAAGCATAAATAAATCTTCATTTATGTTTACTTTGCTCTTACATTTAATACGAACCTGTTTTGGAAAAACTGTTCTTAAGTTTTTCGCAAAGTCGAAATATGCCATTGTGCTTCTGTCATTTTATAGATATTTGATGAATGTGCTTGGATTTTGTTTCGTGTAAAGAAATTTCATCGGAAATAATATCGTTTTAGTAACTTTTTGAAAGCGAATGACATAAATAGCTGAAGAATTAATCCGACCATATAACTGGAAATTTATCTGTGACATGTGTTATCATTTCTGAAATGATAATTTGGTTCGTTGAGATGAACATGTGCATTTAAATTTTGTTGACGTTTATACCTACCGGTAATTTAACCAACGACCACGTATTGATTATAAACACAGGTGTACTGTGGTCGTTACTTTAAAGAAGAAGTAGATAATTTCACGGGTGTCATTCGGTATATCGAAAAAATGAACGGGAAAGAATAAGTAACGGTGGTCAAGTATTGCGATAGGATCGTGAAAGTTCTAAAATCGGATCCTGAATGAAATCTTATCGAGAAGACACTTGCAAGGTCAAAAGATAAATTAAATGATATGTTGAATCATAAAGACAAATTTTGAAAAAAAAAATGAAACTGTCTGTCAAGATAGTTCGACATTATGACCAGTATCTGAGAAAATCAGTCTTAAATATTATCGTTTTTACAAAACTGCAAAAGGCAGATTGCTCTTCAACATTTCAAAAGACATAAGAAAAGTAAACAAACATGATTTTTTTCCTGATATGAATGACTAAATTACTTTTTTTCTGAACAATGTCGTCCTATAGTAATGTTTTAAGTGATCTCGGTATTATTTTGAAGTACCTTCATCAGAAATTTGTTAAAATTGGCATATTTGTATAAATTTGATATTGATGATCGTGAAAGATCAGTACAACTTTTTTTAACTCGTGAAAAGGATCGTGAGAGATCCGTTGTCGCTTATTAGTAATTGCACAAATTATTGAAAGTGTTCAAATCATTTTGTAATTATATGAAAATTTATTATGTAACTGGTACAGCAAAATACCGAACTTCCGTGACTTTTTCCGCTTCTTTTTTTGTTAGGGAATCATCTGTTAGGCTATGATCTTTCAATTCCATTTTGTCTGTTTTATACTAAGACCATTCTTCAACATTTTATGTGGTTATCATAAGTCAAGAATTCCTCATCCGATTTCAATAATGTTATAATATATCTATAAGAGGAAGATCATTTTCGATTTTTTATTTTGCTTTTTTAAAGGGGGGACATTTAAGTTTAAAAAAATTGCAAATTTTGAGAACTATCTGTTTTAGTTAGAATTTCAATAGACAATCATAATCGACTACGGGGATTTCCAATTTACGGCATGTACAAATTGGGGTAAAATGTGGTAAAAAGTTATTGTTTCTTTCGTGTTAGAATTAATATGCCATTATTAATTTGTTCTAGATATCAAAAATTATCCGTCGGCTGCAGTTTTCGATATGATTGTCAAGTTGTATGAACAATTTCACAGAATAAATCTTATATATTAAAAGAACATATTTAAAAGTTGGGTAATATCAGGGGGTGGACAAACAAAAAAAAAACTACAAACTTCAAAGAAATAAGAAAACAGGTAATTTGGAAAAACAATCTGATTAATTTTGAAAATAAAACCACTATTTTTGAAAAATGGATAAAGAGTAACTTGATATTTGTTAATGATATTATAGATGACACAGGTGCTATATCTCAACATTTTATTTTGGAAACATTAGTCTGTAAGATAGGCAGAAATAAATATTGTGAAAAAAGCCATCCCAAAAGATTTGCTTCAGATGCTAAAGTCTGAAAATTCTATTAAGAGTATTGTAAATATTCATGGAAAGGCAATTAAATTGAGGCTTCAAATTTGTAAAGATAAAACTGAACCCGCAATTGATGTTAGCAAATTGATGCGTATTTTACAAATTAATGAGCATCCTAGTATAAATAAATTATGTTTTTTCGTGTTTCTTTATGTAGAAGAGAAAAAGTTATAAGTCTAAATTGAAAACAACGTTCAAACCTATGATTGCGTTGGATAAAAACCGCATTTTTTATACGTGTGCATGCAAAACAAATTTCTTGGTAGATGGGGTCTAAATACAGCACAAACAACATTTTCCAAAAGACCAAAATAGTGAAAAAGTATATTTTAACAAAACAAATTTGACTAGCAGGTCGAACAACGGATGTTCTTAAACTCTGCTGACTGCCATTGGCGATTGCCAAATAAACGGATAACTAGATGTAACAAAATGAATCTTAACTATATATATAAGTCTAAATTGAAAACAACGTTCAAACCTATGATTGCGTTGGAAAAAACCGCAATTTTTATACGTGTGCATGCAAAACAAATTTCTTGGTAGAGGGTCTAAATACAGCACAAACAACATTTTCCAAAAGACCAAAATAGTGAAAAAGTATATTTTAACAGAACGCATTTGACTAGCAGGTCGAACAACGGATGTTCTTAAACTCTGCTGACTGCCATTGGCGATTGCCAAATAATCGGGTCACTAGATGTAACAAAATGGATCTTAACTATATATACAAGTCTAAATTGAAAACAACGTTCAAACCTATGATTGCGTTGGATAAAAACCGCAATTTTTATACGTGTGCATGTAAAACAAATTTCTTGGTAGAGGGGTCTAAATACAGCACAAACAACATTTTCCAAAAGACCAAAAAAGTGAAAAGTATATTTTAACAAATCGCATTTGACTAACAGGTCGAACAACTGATGTTCTTAAACCCTGCTGACTGCCATTAACGATTGCCAAATAAATTGATCACGAGATGTAACATGGATCTTAATTATTAATTTAATAACAAACAGAAAACAATAAACTTGCGGAGAACATGGTATACCGCAAACATGAGGTGCAAAAATTTGTACACCATATCCGGATTTCGACAATTAATGTCTCTTCAGTGATGTTAGGGATCGAAACGGTATTTGGACGGCCATATAATTTACCTCAATTTAGGATATATCGGCTTTATCTAGGGTTGTAACACAGAACATGATGTAAAATGGCAAGTAGTTGGTATACCTTGCAGGTTAGTTGTTTTTGTCTGTCGTAAAGGATGGTAATAGTATGTATTTCTTATGCCGCAAGAAACCTACAATCTGATTGGCTAATTACCCGGGGGTAAATTACACCCCACCCTTGTTCACCCGGGGATAACATTTTGCCAAAATTGATAATAAAAAAAATGTAATGGAAAAATAGGAATAAATCAAATAAAATTAAAATAAATTGCAAAATTAAAAAAATAAAATTGGGGGACCAGAATTTTTTTTTTTTTTTCTTTTATTATTTCAGAATTTCCTAAAACGCTTCATAATAAATAAATTTGTTATCTTGGTGTAATCAGGGGTGTACGGAATTTTACACCGGTGTTGAAAACGCATACACCATTCGGCTGCGCACAGGGTGTATGAATTTTACACACAGGTGTAAAATTCTGTACACCCCTGATTACACCGAGATAACTAATATTACCATGCCGTCACATCAATATATATACTCATATTTTTCTTAATTATAAACAGAAAGTTACATGTATATACATCTAACATAAATGAGTTTTTTTCTCTGTGAATGACCATCGAAGTGCTACTCCATTTTTTTGTATAAAATTTATATATCAATATGATATTTTTTTTATTTTCAATTGACGTTTTTTAGATTTTAAATTTCATTTCCTGATGATAAATATAAAAAAAATAAGATCTGGTATGATACCAATGAGATCACTATCCACCAGAGACCAAGTGACGTAGATGTAAGCATTTGTATGTCACCGAACGGCCTTCAACGATGACCAATCCTATACAATCTTGTCTGGTGCAATGCTTTCATGGTCAAAATATAACGCGTTGCCGGATCTTTCCAGATCAATTTTGATAAAAAATCAACAAAATCCTTCTTTTGATGAATAATCTTTACCTTTTTAAGGAAAACTTCTATTTGATTTGTGGATGCTACAAAAGTAATATAGAAGAAACAACGAGTAAAGAATGGCGGAATTGTAGATACTTAAAATACATAAAATAGAATATGGGTACTGAATTCTCAAAATGACATTGAATAATTAATTGAATCTACTGTCCATCATAGAAAGTAGCCATTCATGTTTCACCACAATTTTGATACTGCAGCTGTCACTGTAAATCAACTAATTTTCATGATCTATTTTTATTCGCGGCCTTCAAGAGTGTCAAAATAACGCAAATATATAACACAACGAAAATGATGTTCTTGGACCTTCTTTTATCGGAAAGCATCCACAATCTTGGCAAGTTGCAACAATAAATCACCATGACGATGGCTAGAATATGATAATTTAAGGCAACAGTAGTTTTCCAATGTTCGCTCGAACATGCAAATCAAGATTAAAACCAAGCTTGAGGGAATCGCGTGTACTCCTTCAGAATCGATACCGGGTGCTTCGAAATGGTAATCGTAATTGTGTTGCATGTGTCATATTCTATGCGAATCCACACTTATCAAAAATGTTACAATAGGGAATAGGACACATTCGACTTTCTCTGGTACTAGTATCTAAAGATAAAAAATTGCTTAAACTTGTCAGCAGTGATTTGAGAGACCAACTTGAAAAAAGTATTCGGGAAAGTAATACTTCTGATAACAAATGAATTATAAGAAGTATGCAAAATCTATCTTTTTTATTTAGAGCAAACAACGCAGTATAATTCAAGTTTGTCATGATAAGGTGGACAAGGAAGTGAACCACATTTGGTACCAACCATATAAAGGAGATGACCATTGTCGTTGCGCTCTCCACTCGGAATGTATTCCGGTTGACCGTCAACGCAGATGAATGAAGATGCTTTGCAATTATAACATCCTGAGGCTAAATATCCCATATACTCCATTTGCCATCCAGCGTAACACGTTTTACGCCCGGGGATCATTAATGAAGAGAATCTGTTTGGATTACGACATACTGCACATGGTACATCTTCATTCGCAGAGTTGGACGCAAAGGAGTTTTCCTCGTACCATATATTAATGTATTTCCAGGGGAAGTGCGATTAGTGAGTTCAGGGTCGGAAGGGAGACACAGCATATTAGACGGCCCTCCATATACAGAACCTTGACTATAAACGTTGCCAGCAGCATTACCTAAAGCATAATTGAAAACAATATTTAAAAATATAAAGTCATTGTCCCAGCAAGATGGATAACTAAGTAAGGACAGCGCTATAAATAGCCAAAATCTAGATATTTATAAAACGTTTTATATTATTTTGTTGCGTTGTTTATATAAAACAAGATGTTGTATGATTGCCAATGAGACAACTATCTGTTTTCCATTCGTTTGATGTGTTTGAACTTTTGATTTTACCATTTGGTAAGGGGATTTCCGTTTTGAGTTTTCCTTGGAGTTCGGTATTTTTGTTATTTTACTTTTTAGTTATGTTTTAATTTTTCAAAAACAAAATCAATATATTTGTACCGATAAAAACAATATTTTAAGATTTTACTACTGTGTTTATAAATAAAAAAACTTTAAGTATAGTTTATTCAAAGGATGAATGAGTTTACGTTGATCATATCTAAATTAACGGGCTCTGTAAACAACATCACTGTAAAAATTGTGGACGCTTTTTTTGAAATGTATGATCCTGTTGATAAATTTTCAGAAAGTTGAGCCAGTTTTTTTTTACAAAATTTTGGATATTATCTCAAGGGAATTTAAAAATCTAGTTAGAGAAACATTCAGATTTTCTTTATCACGAGAAATAAAAGATTTTAAAAGATTTCATTTCAGCATTTTACATTTTTTTAAAACCGGACATCAGTAGTTCGGAAGATCAGAATTTGCTTTCAGTTCTTCTTATAAGAAAACGAAATACATGGTTTACAATTTCTTGTTACAAATACTCTCTATATATTTACAGAATCCACTTACCTACTCAGATATAAGTCTATTGAACATGTAGATTATTTTAAAAAATCTCCTGTCACCCGAAGTTGACTTACATTCTAACTCCTAAAGACTTATTTACCATGTACAATTTACCTTTTAAAACTTCACATATAGGGCTCGAGCTTGCGCTTGTTTTCTTCATTTGCCATCATGTTCTTAAGTCCGTAGTCTAAAAGTCGTTTTGTCTCCTTGCATATACTCCCCCTTCTTTATAGCCAAAATATATAATCTCTTGTGGTTTTTGTCTTTTGTTTGTTTTTTTATTTAATTGTTTTTAGGTTTGTTTTGGGTTTGTTTTTGGTTTTTTTTTAATTATTCTATTTGGGAAATATTTATGTGTTTACTTTGAATATATCCCTCTAAATTTCTATAAAATAAATTTTCAGGACCATCATTTCACTTTAACTGTTGAAATTAAGAGGTATATTTTCCATATTTAAGGTTTTGCATATGAAAAAAAATACGAGACTAATTGAAAAGAAAGATTTGCAAAAGGAGTAATTATGTTTTGTTCTGTGACAACATGGTGAACAGATCAATTCTGTTTAAATAACCTACTGTCTGAAACATCTAATGGTGTATAATCATGATAATACACACATACTTTAAAGTAAAATGACACACACATTGGTTTTACGAGAGGTATGAAAATATGCAAAAAAAACATCTTGTTCGGGATATTAGCAACACCGAATGATTTTAAAATATCTTTAATTTATACTTGTTAATTATAATAAATAAAAAAAGTTGTATTTATAAAAATATCTAATTTGAGCGTTCCTGGTGCAGATGGATCCTGAGGTGCGATTCGGACGCAAGAGGTTTTTACAGTGTTGTTTCCATTTTTTTTACCCTTGTTTTTTTATTATATTTTACTTAATTTGTACTTAATCGAAAAAGTGTTTATTATATACGGTATGTTTTAACAACTACAAACAAAAATGTGTTGGCATCTTTGTCAACTTTACTATCAACTACAACAACTTTTTTGTTTGGCGTTTATGTTAAATTTATTTGTATGTTTGTTTGATTTTTTAATCAGTTGTTTTGTTTGTCTGTGATGTATGTTTTCTCAGTTTTGGCTGCTGGATCCAAATTAATGTCACATTAACCTATTCAGTCTGTCTGGGTTGCTCACCCAATTTTGTCAATATAACGGAACTATAAACAACTGTCATACAAGTGGGAGGATTAGCTATCTATAAAACCAGGTTTAACACACCACTTTCTTTGGGAAATGCCTGTATCAAGTCAGGAATATGATAGTTGTTCCACTCGTTCCGTTGCTTGATAACGTTTAATTTTGTCAGTTTTTATGGACTTCCCCTTTTTTAATTGACCTTGGAATTCGGTATGTTTGTTATACATTTTGGATTAACGTCTTTAAATTTGAAAATTTAGTTTAAATCATTTCTTTCTAAAACTATCAAAACTCCCCAGGCCTATGTTAAATGAAATAATATGTACAGACCTGTGTAAACTCGTTCTGTGTTTAAAGGACAACCACTTCTTCCCCAACGTACATAAGTTGAACCACGATCTGTAAAATGTAGCAATATATAATAGAGTTTAAGATATGGACACACAATGCACTTCCATTTGAAAAAAAATGCTTTGATATAAGCTGGACAACCACTCTTTCTTCTATAACTGAAGAATTTTCTTATATTTCTTAATAGAGTTTAAAAAAAAGTATTTACATATTTGTTTTTCAAAATTCAATATGAAAAAGAGAGGCAAAAGATACTAAAGGTACATTCAAACTCATAAGTAGAAAACAAACTGACAACGCCATGGCTAAAAACAGACAACAGAGCAACAGACAAACAATAGTACACAAAACACAACATAGAAAAAATGTTGGTTACCAACCGTATTTTGGAAAACATTTTCACTTTCTCTTTTTATTCTCCTTTTTTTTATTTAAGTTATTTATTCGACTGAACAGTATACACCTGACCTTTTTAAAAAGACCAAAAAAGAAATATCATCAGGGAATTCGGTAATCAATAGATAGCAATATAAAATAAGTGATGTTTCCCAAGAGAAAATAAGTAAGCTTAAGAGGGACAGTGTAGACATTCGTGTTAACACGAATGATATTAGAATAAACAAAAAAAATAAAGGATTTTCACTTTTTTGAAACAAATTTCCCCTTAAACGAATTTCAATTGTAAGACAGCCTGTTATGCAACGTGAATAACATCAACCCAAAATGAAAATTATCTTGTCAACTGAAAAGGAGACAATGGCATAGAATTTTATTGTATGTGTAACGAGAATTGCCCAATAGCTACGATTGATAAACAAGAAAAATAACGAGTCTGAACCTGCTTCGCTCCATGCAGTTGATTAAGGTAACATGTATACTGAAGCATGACTAATCATTCCCTTCCATTGAAATTCAGGTACAGGATTGTGTAATAGTTCGTAATGTTCGCCAACTTCGCCAACATTATTCTTTATGTACTGTTCTCCAACTGCGCCAACTTCGGTAACATTATTTTTTATGTACTGTTTGCCAACTTCGCCAACTTCGCTAACATTATTTTTTATGTACTGTTTGCCAACTTCGCCAACTTCGTTAATTTTACATCATTTCTGTTCGCCAAGTTCGCCAACATCATTTTTCATGTACTGTTCGCCAATTTCGCCAACATGATTTTTTATGTACTGTTCGCCAACTTCGCCAACATTATTTTTATGAACTATTCGCCCAATTTGCCAGCATTATTTTTCATATACTGTTCGCCAAATTCGCCAAGTTTGCCAACATTACTTTGTATGTACTGTTCGCCAAGTTCGTCAACATTAATTCTAGATTTTTGAAAAAAAATTTATGACAATTTAATGATAAATAATTACATATTTCGTGAGAAAAATGATATTTTTTTGGCGATCTAGTATTTCAAAAGGGTGCAGTGAACGTACTTGAACCCCGTACCCCCCTTTTTCCCTTCACCCTCCACCCCCCATAAAAACAACGCAGGAAGCGTCTTTATATAGCACGGTTCACTAAACGACGCAGCAAACACGTAATGGCGGCCACTGTTTGACGTTGATTTTGGCATTATAGGCTGATAAGAAAACTTTGACAATTTTTTTCTTGTATAGTGTCTTATAAAAATTTCTAGTTATTGGCAAACAGGTAGTGGTTGTATCGCTGATGTAAAGATTACTTACACGCTACAAGTCAACATTATCATTATTAATATACTGTTTATATTTATCAAAAGGTATCTCAGTTACCACAATCAACGATTATTTAATGCATGATTATCGTCTCCCGGGAGACGGTATTAGAAGTTGAATTATGCAAAGTCTTCGAACTGGATGGTTTCCTAATACCTGATTTCAAGATGTTACTGGCTCTGTTATAGTTAAGTCCGTTGATTGGTTGGGCCAAGTCGAAAACCTAGTAAATGTCTTTCAATCCCTCAGCATGTCGGGTTTGAACATTCGATTTTAGTTATCTTAAAAAGTCTACATGGTTATCAATCGTGCATTTCGGTACACATGAGTAAAGAGTAAACACATATCTCTATATACCCCTAAATCTCCGCACTCGCTCATTTTCTATACTTGGTCGCTGCTCAAAAAAATGAGCGAGTGCGAAGATTTAATTTTAATTTTATTGTATATAGTCGAAACTCCTGCAATTTTGTACTATTTAAAAAAGCACAATGTGATTATTCACATTGTTTCCATTAGTTCACTGTTTTTTATCAATCTCCACAATAACGAAAAGTTTGAGGGTAATCAATTCTGGAATACAAGAATTAGTGCACTATTTATGAAAAATTGCCTTAAATCTAAGGGTAGAAATTCCGTAAATCAGTAATGACAAATCCAAAAACAAACAAAAATCGAAAAAGAACTTTCTGTCGTCAATTCTAATGTTATGTTAAATTTATATGAGAATTGGTTAAAGTGAATTTGAGTTATCGTTCGTAGTGTGCTTAGTTGTTACATGAACGTATGATTTACAGGAGATGTGAAGAATACATAAGTAATTCAGACAGCAACCCAATTAAACGACACATATTACTATTAACTTCTTAACTTTAATCTACGGTCATCTGCAATGGGCATGCATTACAATATTTTTAATTTTTAAGAGAAGAAGAACATCTATAAAAGTTCTGTTTCTTTGCTTTTGTGTGTTTTAAAAAACCAATATACTGTTTGCATTAGAAATGATTATCGGGAATTGAATGTTTTCCATATTATGTAGAATCACTGATTTTTCAGGGATTTTGCATAATCACTAAAATCATTAGTGATTATATATAATCCCTGAAAATTACCAGTGATT